AAGTATGTGTTCCACCTTCGTACTTGATTTAGCAATTCTGATTGCCCCACTTGTTTCGTTATTGTTAATTCCTGTAATTGTCATCGGATGCCCGAAATTTCCTGGGTCAGTATGTCGGATTCTGTTCCCTTGAAAGTTTTTTCTTTTGGGATTGTTCCTGTCGCTTCCTCGCGATTTTTAAAATAGGTTCTGAGTCGTACTCTCGATTCGTCGACGGTTCCCTTGGAATCTAAGCCGAATTTTTCGGCCTCGCTTTGCAATTCCTCTTTGCAAAGTCGGTTTATCCACAACGTACCTGTTACTGAGTCTGTGTCTTTATTTGTCGGCATGTTACTAATTTTCGGTAGCTTTTCGTAATTACTCAAGTTTACTCGGGCGCCAATTTGTTACGGGTAGCTCTTTCAGGACGACAGACCCAGTAAAACACAGGTTGAAATAAAAATATATCTATTAACTTAACGTATGTACAATACAAATAAAAATAAAATTAATTCTCCTCCGTATATATAATAAAAATAAAACGTATCCTTCGTCTCCGTCTAGATCCCGCGATGAAGGAATCCCCGGCGAACGTCTATAAAAGAAAGAAAAACAACCAACAAAACAAATAAAATAGGTTTAATACACGATATCGGTAAAGTTCAATACACGATACCGATGGTTTCTTCTTGGTTAAGGACAGAGTATGATCCTCAATACGGAAATATCTCTGTCCGGGTTGGCTCGCCAGTTCAGTACAGTGGCGAATCGAGGAGCCTAGAGCGCTAGCTGCAAGACTGACTAATTTCGCTACTCACATGCCTTAAATATCCGCTCCGAATCCCACTCACTTCGTCATCTCGCTGAGGGAGTGGATGCGCAAAGATGACACTCCCACGGTTCAAACTGTTCAACGATGAGAGCATCGTTACAATATACCATCTGTAATCATTACTCCCACTAGTCAATTAAATACTTTGGCCGTGGCAACCGCTCCCGCTTCAGTTTTCGACGTCAATAAAGATCTTTCCATCGTGCCTGATTACGATGGTAACCCTAATGAACTTCACAAAATCACATGATAACTCGAGGTGTAATGAATAAAATTTATTACCAACTATGCCCACTTTGTAAACTTGCAGCCCGTAGAGAATATTTGCTAGTATTTTGTAAGCAGTTGTTAACAGGGTTATACCTCTATAGTTGTCACACTGGAGCTGGTCACCTTTTTTATGTAACGGGCATATCACGCCTTGAAACCATTCACAGGGCATGGTCTCATTATGCCAAACAAGAAGTAAAAGCTTATGCAGTGTCTGTAGTAGGGCATCGCCACCATTCTTGTAGAGCTTACTGCAAATTTGATCAACTCGTGGTGATTTATTATTTTTAAGCTTTTTAATGTCTTAAGCAACGTTTTAGATGGTAGGTGGTCTTTCTTTTGGGTTGAAAGGATTCCAATCATTTCGATTTGCTAGGGTGATATCTGCTTCTTCGATATGATGGCCATTCAATTTTGCATCGAAAAATTCAACCCATCTGTTTAGGATTGAGGGCGTATCATTTAGGATGTTTCCTTCTACATCCTTACAGCTCCTTATTCTTGGCTTAAACTCTTTGCGCATTTTGTTTAGATTTCTGTAGAACTTTCGAGTTTCATTTTGATTTCTTATCCATTCTGTGCTTGCCAACTGCTTTTGCTCAAATTGTCTTTTTTTTTTCTTTTATGTAATCGTTTTTCTTCTCTTAGGGTACGGTATTCTTCCTTTGCTCTTCTTGTGCATCCAGCTTGATTTGTCTTTAGGTATGCCCTGTTTTTGTTATCTGTTGCTTCTTGGCACTCCTTGTCAAACCATTCGTTTTCTTTAACTGGTTTGGTTTTTCCCAATATTTTTGTTGCTTTCTCAGTTATTATATTTTTACATTTTGTCCACAGTTCCTCTACATTTTCCCCCACCTCCAGGCTCTCCATTTCCTCGTCCATTTGTCTCCTATACTCTCTCACCATGGTTTCAATGCGCAGATTATCAACATTAATTCTGTCTTGTTTCGTGTGTTTATCTTTCTTAGGTTTGATATTCTTCCTCTGATTTTTGCCATTACAAGAAAGTGGTCACTGTCAATGTTTGGGCCTCGGTAGCTTCTGACGTCTATGAGATCGGAAGAGTGCCTTGCATCTATCAGGATGTGATCTATCTGGTTAATGGTTTCGTTATCAGGGGATTTCCATGTTCTTTTGTGTATCATTTTATGGGGAAATCTTGTTCCTCCTACTATCATGTTTTTAGTACTTGCAAAGTTTATTAGTCTCAACCCGTTATCATTTGACTCTTCATGTAAGCTCTCACGTCCTATAGTTGTCTGGAAAAATTGCTCTTTGCCAATTTTTGCATTAAGGTCCCCAGCAATGATTTTCACGTCATGACGTAGACATCGATCATATTCTTTGTCTAAGGTGTCATAGAATTCGTCTTTTTCATTATCCTCCTTTTCTTCCATAGGTGCGTGTACACTAAGTAAGCTATAATTAAAGAATTTTTCTTTACGACATAGATAACATATTCTGTTGTTTATGGGTTTAAAGTTAAGGACTAATTGCTTTGCTTTTTTACTGACTAGAAAACCACTGCCAAACTCGTATCGGCTGCTATGTCCGGTATAGTATATATTGTAGTCTCTTTTCTCGAGATGATTCCTGAACCAGTCCATCTCATCTCTTGAATCGCTACTACATCGGCTTTCATTTTATCAAGTTCTTGTGTTAGCAGTCTAAGAGCACCTGGGGCATAAAGGGTTCGTACATTCCATGCGCATATCCGTAAATCGTTATTCCATTGTCGTTTGCTAGGTCGTCGTGAATTAAACAGTCCGGCTTTTCCACTTTGTACTTTCATAACAATGAGTTTTTTTAAGGGAAGAGGTCGTTAACCTTTTGCCCAACCCCCTAATCTTCGAAGGACCATTTCTTCCACTCTCGTTTGCCCTGACTCTGCGTCCCACTGGGGTTGGTGACCACAATCTTCCACAGAGTTGCTCAGGTTACCAGAGTTCACCGCGTGGAGGTAAGAGTTGGAGTTGAGTAGGAGAGGCTAGTGACGCTAACAGGATGCAGCGTCATATTTTACGCATCACTACCCCATTTGAACCCCCAAAACTCTTCATAATGGCCTTATAAAACCAGACGAAATAAGATGGACCATCCAGAAAATGCTAGGACATCATCCAGCTTCTCAGCTACCATACCTTGAAGAAGAAGACCTGATGAGATATTACGAGATAGTAGAAGTAGATGGTTACTACTCCAACCACTGTCTAGTCTTTATCTTACATTTTCCCGTTCTTTATTCCAAAGTATTCACATATTTTCATCTGTATTCACTTCCAACAATAAATAACACAATAATTATTCCACCTGGACCATATTTAGCTTCTAACTCAAAACTTTTTCAATACATGGACCTACCATGCAGAAAAATTGAACCAAAGAAATTCATTTGTCCAGAGAAGTTTCCACAAGAAAATACAGAAACCGACGACTGCATCAATCAAATCCTAAAATTATCCAATGATGCCGCCCAATGTCAAAACGTGCCGATTACAATTAGCACAACAATTATCCAAAAAGTATCGGAAGCTCACTATATTGCTGTTTTCTCAAAAGCTACTAAAATCTCCACCCACTGTTCTACTTCCAAAATTAAAGTACTCAGAGGAACATTTCTAATAGAACTACCCCCAGGATGTGAGTTCAGAACCAACAACGAAGTTTACATCAACTCCAAAGCAACAATAAAAGAAGAACCGTTAACCCTGCCAAAAATAAAAATTAATCTTCAAGGAGAAAATCCAACAGTAAAGCCTCTAAAATTAGACAGAATCCAGTTAGATGAACTACATAAACTCTCAACGGAAGAAGAAAGACTCCAACCCGTGTCTTTAAAAACAATGGATCATTACCATCTATATATATATCCTGGCGACAGCCCTTATCGTTATTTTGGTTTACAAATTACGAAAGATATGGAAACAGAAGACAACAGAAGAAGAAGAAGAAGATACAGCCGATACAGAATCCATACCTTCAGTTTTGTTCATCTCTCACAAAACTTCCCAAGGGGATGGAGAAATTACGGTCAGTAACCCCGGAGGTCAGCAAACCCAATCAACAGTTTTGTCAGCATTTAATTTTTATATAAAAGAAATTATATTGTAATTAAATTCAGTTATTTTCAATCAATAAAGCAGTTCAGTATAGTTGTAAAAGTTAATAAAGGGTCTTTTTAAAAAGTACCTTCGCGAACTTAACTTTTAAGTCCTTTAAGTTGCAGTTGGTGCACTCATAAAAAAATCAAAATCTCGACAAATTCAATTATTATTATCATATGTTTCAGCGTTTAAGTATATGATTTAGTTTTTCGGGACATTGTTGTGTAACACAAATACTAATGATTCCGCCAACTTTGGAAGGTGTGCTTATGATATCCATAGTGTGCTTAAAAAATGCATCTTAACAAAATTAATCAAGAATAAGACTGCAACGAAAACGATAACTCTTGAAATAAAAAATATAGAATTGCATATGTTAATATAACATAGGTTCCTCTTAGTTGACGGAAGGACCCTATTGACTTTGGGTAGTAAAAAAAGGTAACCAGAGTTTGAAAAAAATTCAGGGTAGGGAGGATTCAGTCTTGAAATTTGGTATGTGGTCTTTTCCTTGTGACTTTAAATTTTTCCAGATCCTTGGATACCTCGTTGTATTAGTTTATTCATCTCATATTTAACAAAATTATTTTCAAGGTATCTGCAGAAATTATAAACGTGAAAAAGGTAATAATAACGACGCGCTGTTTCCTTTTCTCAATTGAAACGTTTTATAAACTTTAATACAAATTTTCGACATTTTCTGGTACTATTACTTCCAGCCATCTTTAAACCTATATTTAAAATGATGAATAATTTTATATGTTAGACTCTCTACGGTACCTATTTCTTATAAATATTTGTTTCTATTTTTTTAGGAAGAAGGTCAATCGGAAGAAGATCAATTTCCAATTAACTTTCCCAGTGTAGACCCCAACAAACTAAGCAAATTAAAAAACAGGTTAACTACCAAACAATCATCTAATGGATTGAATTCACCTCCCCACTTTAGTGGCCAGCAAGAATTTTACAGGGAATTTATTGTAGTAGCCGCCAACCATTCCTTTAATGTTCATTTGCAAGATACATTTGTCAGTGAGATTGTGGAATTGAATAAAAAAAATTTTGATGGCTTGGAAGAGTCAGGTAAAAATGTCCTAACAACTTGTAGTTAAAAAAGTGTAGCTTAAAAATCATTAGTGCCTCTTAATTCTCAGGAATCGATCAGATTCAAATGATCTATCTTCTTGTGCTTGTTTAAATATCAATATTGTAACTTAGGCAAACTATTTACCCACTGAACCTATTGAAATTTTTGAAACGGTTACAATATTAGTGGAAAATTAAACTTTGGAAGATAAAACGGCAGGCGTGGCGCTGTCCATGTAGAGATTTAATAGTAATCAAATATCTCGAGAAAGGTTTAATCAAAGGTATTATCAAAGAAAGATATACTTTAATTTTGCATTCTAAAACTATGTAGCATAGAACAAGTGATTTTAGATCCATTGAATATAACTCTTGGCTCGTTCTTTAGGGCTAATATTTTACAAACTACTTTTAATGTATAGATAAATTGTTATTTGAATATGGTACGGAAACTTTTTTCTTGTCGCATATCTACATTAGCTATTTACCATATTTATTGACAATAAACCACAATTTTAATTAAAAATAACTTATGTTTGACGTTTTTATGATTTCCGTCTCAAACATCATTCTCAAAATACAAATTTAACAAATGATCATGTTTTGTTGCTTTCAAATACATTTTTTTTTTTTCGAAAAGTTTAATTTTATCTGTTTTAGTCGGAAAATGTGTACGAAAAACAACAAAAAAGACCACGTACAAATTCTTAAAAAAAATAATAAAATCAAACAAATTGGTACATATTCAATTATCTTCAGAAACAAAATAAAAATAACAAGAAAATATATGCAAAATGTTTCTCGATTTAGTTAATACCTTGTATTACCTCCACAAGCCCGTATAACGTAATTCATTGTGCTGGACATATTGTTAATTAAGTTAAAAACTTCATTGTATGGAACTGTTTCCCATTTCCTGTGTAATTAATTTATGCAAGCAATGTATGTTGTGTTGCCTATAGTGAAATCGTTCATTAATAGAAAATCATTCATTAATAGGGGTCATTAAACAATGATTTTTTGAGGGTGTTAAAATTGATCATAAATGGACGGCCGACAGAAAAAAACATTAAATACCCTCCAGAAATGGTCTGATAAAACAGGACTCAACTTCTCTAACGAAAAAACAAAATGCCTACTTGTCTCAAAAAAGCGAAAGAAGGATAATCTAGTATTAACGTTGAATGATAAGAATCTGATATTTGTAAAAGAAATAAATTCCTTGGTCTTTCTTTGACAAAACATTGGTTTGAAAAAGTCACATTAAAAGTTTAAACGGTAGTTGCCAGCAAAGCATTAATATTTTGAAGACACCATGGAACATCACCTGGGTCAGCAATACGGCAATTCTTCTACGAATCTTTTCATCCTTACGTCTATCAAAAATTGACTACATCTCAGTGGTATTTAACTCAGCTAAAAAATCTGTAAAAAAAAGCTGGAATACTTCGGTCATATTATGAGACACCCTGAAAAATATGATCTTTTACATCTGATCATTCAGGGAAAGATCCAAGGTAATCGTGGTCCTGGTAGAAGAAGAACATCATGGCTGAAAAATCTAAGGCAATGGTATGGAAAATCAACTACATCGTTATTTAGAGCTGCTGTCAATAAAGTCACGATAGCGAATATGGTAGCCAACATGATATCCAACGATCGATAACGGTCATGGAACTAGAAGAAGAAAAAATCTGTTCTTAAAGAACTAGATGTAATTCCAACTACGGAACTGCGAGTCGCTTTGGGTGCCTTTCGAATAAGCCCCTTACAGTATATGTAGTGAGCTAGTGCAAACCCTTCTAGTATTTAAAAGAGATTTTTAGATTTGTCGTTTGCTTGTAAAGTTCTGTCCTCAGTAAATAAACCAGTTTACCATAACGTTGATAACAGTCGTTTCAGTCACTACTTCTGATCTCACCCTTAATGCGATTAGCCTTTCTATGAACGAATTAACCGATTACTTCATAAATATAGCATAAAATTCCCGACAATATAAGACCCTACCGAAAACCCGCCTCCTCCAATGGACTGTAAATAAAGCACGAATGATCGGTGATCTATAAAAATTTAATAAACATGTATCCCCACCAGCAATAATATTAACTCACTTCAAAGAGATTATGGATAGATTTTGCGACTACTGACAGATCTACACAGATGCATCAAGAATAACAAACAGACTGGGGGCAGCAATTTTTTTCTAATACTCATAATACTAAATTTAAGTTGCATAAGAACTGGACTATCTCCAGAACTGTACGCAATCCTTGAAACTCTAAAATTCGTCAACAAAACGAACCAGAGAAATTACACAATCATAACTGAATCAATGAACGCCTTTTGTGACAACCAAAACATGTACTCCAACAACCCTATTCATAAAGACATTTACAAAGAACTCCAAAATGATGCAAAGGAAAACAAGTACGTAGTATTAATCTGGGTTCCATCCCATATTGGAGTACACTGTAACGATTTTGTGGACCGATTGAGCTCACTAAGCAGCAACAAGTGATGGTCAAGTTCAACTAAATAAAATAGTGCCAAGTGATCTTAAATTGTGCTTAAAAACATAGTTGTGCGTGTCAACACAAATGGTCGCAATACTCCGAAAAACTAAGTCAAATTAAAGACAATGCTTTACAAAAACATAGAAAAAAAAGTCATCTTTACTCGACTCCGACTTGGCCACACCCGTCATACACAAGAGACAACCCCCATACTGCAACCAGTGTCAAACCAACAGTTCAGTAAAACTTTATTTTATTTTAACCGAATATTAAATTTTCCAGGAAACGAGAAATAAACTCAACCTTCTCAGCAACATAGCCGAGCTTCTTAAACAATAATACTTTAAACAACAACCATAAGTTTTTAAACGGCTGTAGGCATAAAAAATATTTAAATTAAAATCTACTTTTTATCACAAATTATATTAATGTTAGTATATAGTTAATATTGTAATCTTTCTTTGTTTTAAAATTCATTTTACATTGTTATCGTCTTATAACCCCAGTGATTCGAACGACATTAAATAATAAAAAAAAAACGTTTAAAACATAATCAAAATTGAACTAATTCCTGAAATTTAATAGGTACAGTGATTCACTGATTCGGCGATATCAATCAGATATTTTTTAAATTAAATCGTCGGGAGATGGCTGCATACCATATTAGTTAAAAAACGCGAACATCGAAGTAAAACACTTCTGTTTTAATTATTATATTAATTAAAAAATTTAATAAAAAAATCCAAATGAATTAAAAAAGAACGTTTTCGACTTCGGACTCAGTTAAGAAAAACGTAAGAGAAAATTTTGACTGTTAAATACAAAGATATGGTTTAGATTACTTACTTTGGAGTACTTGCATAACTAACGGCAGAACCCAGTATTAATGTAAACCCAACCACTGTTTGGTTTTGAGGTTACTTATGCAAGTACTCCAAAGCATTGATTATAAACCACTACCTAGATAGCTCACCTCGTGGTAACCGAAAGACGTATCAAAAACTAGATGGCGTTACTCGAAAACCGTATCGAGATTCTCATTATCTCTCTGACTTGCGAGGAGATAGGAGTAGTGTCAGGGCCGAACTTATCCTATAAGTGTATTATCTGTGTGAAGTGTTGTGACAAGTTATAGCGAACATTTATAAAAAGAAGGACTCACATTTTACATAAAATGGCCTGTGTAACGCATAAATGTGTTCACGCGGGATGTTTTGAAAGAAACGATGGAACAAATAATAATATATCTTTCTTTAAATTTCCCCTAAAAGACGTAGAGCGCACAAAAATTTGGCAAAAAAACTGCGGAAATATTGATATTATATTGATGGATATCAGTGACCTAAAACATAGGGTAATTTGCTAGCATCATTTTGCAGTGAAACATTTTTATAACACTTTTATATAATTATGTACGTTTCCTCAGAAAATTCTTCTCGGCTATTAATAATAAAATGTTTCGATATTGTCAATAATGACAGTACTTCTTGAGAACAAGAAATAATAAATATTTTTTTCCTAAAATTTTAATTTTACAATCTTAATTTGAAAAGAATTAACATTCAAATATACTTATTTACTTTGTTTTGTAATATGATCTAATTAGTGATGTTTTAAACTTTCTAATCCTGTCCGTTTATCAGCTTTTACCTATTGTTCCTAGGCAGGTGGCCCTCATCTATTTATGTATTGGAAATTCCCTGTCATTTTATCAAGATTTGTACTTACTTAATTAATTTTTAACGTTGGTAATTTGTGGTATTTTGTTAAAGTCAAAATCGATTGCATTTGGTACACTTTTAAAACCTCGATGACGTGATTCCAGAAAGTCCTCAGAAAATTTTTAAATGTAAAAAGTATGCGATAGAACAGTAGATTATAGTGATTTTAGTTCACCTCTATACAATTTCTTATTTTGCACAGAATATAATTGACTTCTATATTGCCATTTCTAGATAAATTGTCAATTTTTTGTAGTACAATGTTAGTACTATTAGAACAAAATTTATATCCTATTCTTGTCGAAGTTCCTTCTCCTATCGAAGGTTGGCCATCACCACAGCTATCCGTACTTTATGGGCGGCTGCTCTGAAAATATCTATTGAGCTGCAACTATACAACTCTCTTAAGTTTCTCAGCCATGAAATTCTTTTTCTACCTATGGATCTTTTACCCTTAATTTTACATTGCATTTTAAGCTTTTCGCACCTTCGGTAATGTGACCTAAATATTCCAGCTTTCTTGTGTTGATGTTCTTTATCACCTTGCAATCCTTTTGTAACCTTAACACTTTTGCATTTGTAACTCGTTAGATCCAGGTATTTTCAAAATTCCTCTATAGCACCACATCTCAAATGCTTCCAACTTCTGTATATTGTCTACTTTTAGCGTATATCTTTTTATTCCATGTATCAAAGTCGAGGGTCTTATCCTCAGCTCCAGAGGAAGATCTCGATTTTGTTCTAAAGCTATTTTCTTGTGGCA